CTCCGGTACAACATTTAAATGCATTTTTTGACCCGATCGTCGAAATTTATCATCTCACATTTAGTAAATGATTATATTGATTCAAAACACCACAAAAGTTTAGTAATCGAGTGAGTATTACATTTTTAGGTTTATTTAATAATTAAATGTATACGTATTAACTAAAAAAATGTTTTTTTAGGGAAAGAGCTAAAAACGTATCATTGTCTCTGGTACAACATTTCAATGCATTTTTCGACCCGATCGTCGAAATTCACCAACACACAATTGGTAAATGAATATATTGATTCAAAACAACACAAAAGTTTAGTAATCGAGTGAGTATTAAATTTGTAGGTTTGTTTAAAAATAAAATGTACATGCATAAACTAAATAAGTGTTTTTTTAGGGAAAGAGCTAAGAACGTATCATTGTCTCCGGTACAACATTTAGATGCATTTTTTGACCCGATCGTCGAAATTTACCATCTCACATTTAGTAAATGATTATATTGATTCAAAACAACACAAAAGTTTAGTAATCGAGTGAGTATTACATTTTTAGGTTTGTTTAATAATTAAATGTATACGTATTAACTAAAAAAATGTTTTTTTAGGGAAAGAGCTAAGAACGTATCATTGTCTCCGGTACAACATTTAAATGCATTTTTTGACCCGATCGTCGAAATTCACCATCTCACATTTAGTAAATGATTATATTGATTCAAAACAACACATAAGTTTGGTTATCAAGTGAGTACTAAAAAAAATTATTTTTTTAGGGAAAGAGCTAAGAATGTATCATTGTCTCTGGTGCAACATTTCAATGCATTTTTCGACCCGATCGTCGAAGTTTACCAGTAGGTAGATTTTGTATGTATGGGGACACCTGGAAACCTGGAAACCTGGAGACCCCCCGTCCTCCCGTTCTCCTCGCGACGATTAGAAATTGTCAAAGGCGGTGAAAACAACAATTGCCGGAGGCGATGGTCTAACGATTGCAGGTGTAAAAATAATTATAGGCATTATATTAATTTTTAACACAGCAAACACATAGTCCAACAGAAAAAGAGAAAAGTGCTAATAATAAAACGATAAATAGATATCGACTTAACTATTACATTATATATGATGTTGTTCTGAAACAAAACATGATTTTACAGAAAACGACGTTTACTTAATGTAATTAGAAAAAATAGAAAATCGATTTAAAACCGAAAACAACTCATTACAAACGAATTAAGTTTAGTTTTAATCATTTTGGCACAGTTAACACATATTATTCCAATGGAAAAAGGGGAAAATGCGAAAAAATGATAATTAGACATCGACTATATTACAATATATATTAAAAGGTGCTTTGAAACAAAACATGATTTTACAGTAAAACGAAAGTATCGTTTACCTAATGTAAGTAGAAAAAATAGAAAGACGAGTAAAACCGAAATCAACCCATTAAAAATAAATTAAGCTTAGTTTTAATAAACAACAAACAAGTTAAGAAAATAATACATAGGGAAAAGGGCGTAACAGGTGGGGTTCTATGGGTCTAGAGAGTATAAATACGGAGTAGAATTCAGCTTACGATTAAGTACTGTCGAACGGTTATCATAGTGCAACACATAATATCCAAAATGTTTTCCTGTGATAAGTGTGAAAAATCGTTTTCATTTAAACATGGTTTAACGCGTCACCAGAAAGCCCACGATGGTGTAAGGTTTTCTTGCCGGTTATGCTCAGCGTCGTACGTTCAAAAGAATGATTTGTCCAACCACGTGCAGAACAAACACCGTAAGTAAAATTTTTTTTAAAAATAGCGAAAAGTAAATAAAAACTAATCTAAGATCGATTTAATTAAAGATCTGGTCAAACACGGTATCGATTACAAGGAGGCAATGGGTATGGTGATAAACGAACCGTTAACAATCGGTAAGTCATAACAATAAAGATATACACTAATAACACATTACGTTAGGAAACAACCAATTAGTAATACTATAATTTGGTCATTAGATAATGCGGCGGGGCCATCCAGACCAGCGAATTCGGATAACAAAAGAACCAATTGTTCCACAGGCGATAACTCGGCTAAATTGAAACGCATGAAAAAAACAAGACTCATGACAGTTAATACTCCTGGCTTTATGGAAATTGGAACGGCTCTAAAAGATAACATTCGATGGTTTTACCGGAAAAACGTTGAACATGAGATTAGTTATAGAAAGTTTCTAGATTGTATTAAAGGTGAGCTAACCGATACGCTACAGCAGTGTGTACGAGCAAATCCAATTAAGTTCAACCTTAAGTTGGAGGCCACATACAACATCCCACACCAAGATAACTCCGCTGAAAACAGATCATTTAAAACGAAAGCCACCGAACTGTTTGAAGACACAGACATAGAAGCAGTCATCGAAGAAGCTTTTAATATCCTACTCACAGAAGAAGAGGGGTATACCGAGAAAGGAAGCGGATTTTCACTTATGGCAATCGACGGTCTCCTTCTAGGTGTATACAAGTACACACCACTCGGTGGATCGTCATACATTCCCCTACCTGCAGACATACGATCCAAATACGCTGTCGTTAACCCTCAAAACCACGACAACAGGTGCTTTAAATGGGCAATATTAGCCAAACGGGTTAACGGAGTGCACAAAGAAAGGATTGGGATAAAATACACATCAATCGAAGACCACTACGATTTCTCAGGTATATCATACCCGACGCCGCTAAAGGACATTAAGATATTTGAGAAAACAAATCCAACCGTTAGCGTTAATGTGTTTGGGCTAAAAACGTGTCACGAAAACAACACAATTAAACACATAGTATATCCATTACGCGTTGTCCAAGAAGAAAAAAATGACCACCACGACCTACTTATTGTAACAAACAAAGAGGGCGATTGCCATTATACATGTATAAGGAACTTTAGTGCATTAATTCAGAGCCAACAAACGAAAAACTGCGCAAAAATGATTCATTGTAAGCGGTGTTTTACTGGGTTCAATTTTATACCAAAGATCCACAAGCCACACGGGCGTGAAGCACTGGATCTACATAAAAAAATCTGCGGCGAGCACAAACCAGCACTTCCACTCATGCCTGAACCGGGGTCAAAACTAAAATTCGAATCATGGGAGAAGACCCAAAGAGTCCCTTTTGCCATTTACGCAGACTTCGAAAGCCTTTTAGTGAAATCTGAAGACCACATGGGTGAGAATACTCAAGTTCTACACGAACATAAGGCTATGAGCTATGCATTTGTCGTCAAAGCTGCAGATAACATACCAAAAGAATTGTTAGATGCATACAATATCAGACAGTCGCTAGTCTTGTTCCGAGGGACAAAAGATTCAGGGCCGAACGAGGTGGCTAGTCGGTTTTTAGAAGACGTGTCCAAGGAAGCTGAAAAAATTGCAGACTTGCTGAAAACAAACGTCCCCATCAAGATGAGCGAAGAGCAGACCTCCATACACATGGCCAAAACTCGGTGTGACCTCTGCAAAAATCCGTTTACCAAAGAAAACCTAAAAACCGCCGACCACGATCATCTTACTGGGGATTTCCGACAAACGCTGTGTAACAAGTGTAACTTAAAACTTAAAACGGTGAATTTCGTTCCCTGTTTTTTTCACAACTTAAGTTCTTATGATTCACATTACCTCATAAAACAGCTTGGAAACACAGACAAAAGGATTTCCGTTATACCGAACACAGAAGAACAGTTTATTTCATTTTCAAAATATGTTACAAACACTTTTTCTGTACGGTTCGTCGACAGCTTTCGGTTTATGGGATCAAGTTTGGCTGCCCTGACTACCAATTTACGAAAATGTGACATGGGGTTATTCAAGGAAACAACCAAGACATTTGCCGGATGTGATTTGAGCCTGGTTACTCAAAAATCTTTTTACCCATACTCTTACACGTGTGACTGGGATAGGTTAGAAGAAACAAAGCTTCCGCCTAAAGACGCATTCTTTAACGAGCTAACCGAATCGCATATAGGTCAAAACGATTACGACCATGCTGTGAGAGTGTGGGATTATTTCAAATGCAAAACTTTGGGAGAATACTCAGACATTTATTTAAAAATTGATACTGTAATTTTATGCGACGTTTTTGAAGCTTTCCGTGACTTATGCATGAGAACGTACAAATTGGACCCCTGTCATTACTACACTGCCCCTGGACTCAGCTTTCAGTCAATGCTGATGTACACAGGTATAGAGCTGGAGCTTCTAAGTGATTATGAGATGATGTTATTTTTTGAACGAGGTATTCGGGGAGGAATGACATTCTCGACTATGAAATATGCTAAGGCTAACAACCGAAAGACGCCTGGATACGATCCGAATAAACCTGACAGCTGGATTCTTTATCAAGATGTCAACAATTTATACGGATGGAGCCTTTCCCAGAATATGCCCCACTCTGGATTTCAATGGTTGGATGAGGACCCCGAGACATCCCTTAGGAGACTTGAAGATTTGGATGAAAAATCTCCAACAGGGCTGGTATTTGAAGTGGATATAACATACCCAAAACATCTACACGATGAGCATAACGAGCTTCCCTTCTTACCAGAAACCAAATGCCCGCCGGGGTCAAAAATAAAAAAACTGCTCACAACGTTTGACAAAAAGACTAATTACGTTGTCCACTACCTAAACCTTAAACAAGCGATCGCCAACGGACTGCGTGTCGAAAAGGTAAGATTAATAATAATAATAACAGCACAAATAAGTCATTAATTTTAACGGGGTTTTAGGTACACAGAGTGTTAAAATTCAATCAATCGGCTTGGCTGGCACCATATATAGAATTGAATACTAAATTGAGACAAAAAGCATCCAATGACTTTGAAAAAGACTTTTTCAAACTTATGAATAACTCCGTATTTGGTGAGTAACCAAAAAATATCAGTCGGTAATTAGAATAATTATTAATTTTAGCATGATATTCAAATTAGGTAAAATGATGGAACGAATGCGGTTACGCATGAATATGGAGTTGGTCAATTCCCCAAAAAGAGCCGCTAAACTTATTAAAAAACATAATTTTAAGAATTGCACCACGTATGGGGAAAATTTAGCCGCCATCTCCTTTGATAATAAAATCATAAATTTCTGCAAACCTATCTATGTCGGCTTCGCGGTACTAGAAATTAGCAAGACGTTAATGTTCGAATTTCATTATAACGTCATTAAGAGATATTTTAAGGACCGCGTACACATAATATACGGTGATACAGGTAAGAAACCGATTATAAAATAATGCTGGTTAATCATTTGTTTTGTATACATAAATTATAATAAGTATTATTATTTTAGATTCTCTCGTCTACTTAGTTAGGACTGAAGATTTTTATGCTGAGGTGTCGGCGAACCCTGATTTACTCAAATGGTTCGATACCTCTAATCTTCCCCACAATCATCCAGCCTATTCTATCGCTAAGAAAAAAATCCCCGGACTGTTTTCTGACGAGACCAACGGGTTAACTATCTATGAGTTTATCAGTCTCAGACCAAAAACATATGCTTTTGAAAAGGAGTCAGTGGATGCACAGAGGACGGATGAAAAAATTAAAGCGAAGGGCATCAAAGGTCACGTGGTAAAACATCACCTGACAATGGAAGACTTTAAAACCTGCCTGTTTTTGGAAGAAGAAGATACAATTGATAATGCTAAGGCCACAGCTCGGACACACGGGAGAGCCGTACTCCAACACATTCACGAACAGGGGACCGCCGCGGCCGCCGCAGCCACCGTCAATACACCCGTCAAGTACCCTACGTACACACCTTATAGGGAGAATATTTCTATACGGTCATTTCAACATGATATAAAAACAATAAAAACAATGAAAATGACACTTAATTGGCACGATGACAAACGTTTTATTTTACCTGATAGAATTCATACGCTCGCTCACGGCCATTACAAATTAACGTGAGTAACCTTTTACATGACCGCTATATATATATATATATATATATATAATACTATAGATACTTAATGATTTATTTATTTATATTTACAGTGAGCAGCAACCCGGTAGTGATGATGAAGAAATGAATGAGACGAGGTGATCGACTACCTACTCCGTTTTCATTAACAATTTAACAAACGGAATAACACCATTTAAATAAACAATAACGTACTTTTCATTATATTATTACTTGTATTATTATTGTAATTATTTTGTGTGTTTATTACCTAACAAACATGTGAAGTGTCTTGTAAATATTAATCATTAATGTTCCAAAAATAATAATGTATTATAACTGTTCACCAAACAATAATATTATTACTATCATGTTTAATGGTAATATACGATATTGTAGTTAACCATACTCTAAGTCATTATTGTTATTTTTAGTATTAGTAGATGAAGTAGTAATAAAGTTAAAACAAATAAATATAAAGAAAACTAGTTATTTCGTTTATAATTATGTCATTATTATTATTATAAAAACATATTGTTGACGTTATTTTATTATAAAATATATATATATATATATATATATATATATATGTTTAAAAAAAAAAAAAAAAAAATATAAAAATAAAACATACAAATATTACTATAAAATTGGGTTTTAATATGTACATAGTAAACAATAACAGATAAATCAAATAAAATTAAATAAAAAAAAAAAAAATACATACATAAGAAATCAACATAAGTTAATAGACTAATTAATGAGTCTATTAAATAGGTGGAATATTATATTATGTGAGGGGACATTGGAAAAATGTTCTTCCACGGCAAAAACATCTGACTGGCTTAGCCAGAGTTGCAGTCTAGCACCGCATCCCTCACACGTCTTAAATTGGGATAATTCATGAATTAACCTGATTTTATTGGGTATTTCCCGGGTAGCCGAAACCACACGCACAAAATTAGCCTCAGGATTGAGGCACGTCGATCTCTCCGTATTACATACGAACATAGACCGACGCGTTACCCTCCCTGAGGGTAAGATTATGCGCATGGTCGTCTCCCGGTAATTATCCCATATAAAATTGTTTTGCCATCGATTGAGGAAAAACAAAATCTCCTCCATCGAGTAACAAAAAAAATTAGCTCGCACCAGGTCCCCCGTATTAAACCCAACCGAAGCCATTGTATAATAAAAAATATACCTGAGCGTCCTGTAGCGTATTCGGCGGTAATACAGGACTGGGTCACCGCACGCTAGAGCTCGACTTGCATCCAATGGCCAGGTATTTGAGTATAGTGACCTTAGGGTCGTATAAGCTGCGGAGTCGGGCCCGTGCATGATGTGAAATATGACAGCTGCAAACGACGCACGTTCGCTCACCGACCACCGATCTCGGAACAAGTAGGCGCCCGGCCACGGAAAGTCTTCCAAAGAAACTTCAGCTGAACGTATCCTCCTCTCCATATCACCGCTATAATCCATGAAATAGTCCATATCTCCATCGGTAATGGGCACTAAAAAATATTAAAAACAAATTATAAATTTGATTTTTGTAGTTTAGTAAGAAATATAGGAAACGAACAACCAATATTTAGTGATAAAATTAGATTTTTTTAGGTAGAACGGTGGAAAATATAATTTAAATAAATACCTTCAGATTCATCGGTGTCGTACTCCTCTTCTTCCTCCTCCTCCTCCTCCTCTTCCTCACTGGTTTCTTCCTCGGTATCGTCCTCAGCGGACTCGGTTTCATAGTCCAGATATGTAAATGGATCGCGAAGTATGCCGTCTGAACCACGCAGACCGAAGCCGCCGTCGGGCAAACCGAACGCTTCAACAAACTCTTCGCGAGCCGAAAGCGTTACCTCCAGCTCCTCGTTTTCACCCGCGGTTGAACACTTATCAATAAATACTTTAGGTTGCATTTTGCAGATGTGTGCGGTCGATGACACAAAAAATAATACTTCGATCGAGCTGAACATTTGCAACTGATAAATGTACACTAATCGAACGGTATTTATGCCCAACTAAAGAACTCTTAAAAGGCTTCACTAGCCGAAAAAAAAAGGAGGTATCGATCAAGGGAAGTATATTTAATATCCACTTATACTAATAATAATTAAACACACATCAGGTATAATATAATAACATATAGTTTTATTTCAAAAAATAGTGCAATTTTATATATACAATTATGAATAACACGAGTGAACCAAACTATGTAGTAACAAGTCATAATATTAAGACATTCGTAGAATCGATTACTATAATCGGTGACCCGCGCGACTTATTATATAATATTATCCAAACACCATTTTCTTAATAATAAACCTCTATAAAATGTACATTGTGTTGAAACCGAATTAATATGAAAAAGACAACAAGGATATGGATCTTGTGTGGTTGACCATTCGTCTAGGCGTGGACATAAAAAGTCTTCCATGTTAATTATTTCCCGGTCCGAAAGAAACTCGAGTAAAATTGTTCGTTTTTGCAATCCCTTTACATAAATTATTTGAAACGGTAGAGCCTTAAGTATAGTCGGTATGTCGCTGCTATCGACGTCGCCAACGTCCAGTGGTATTTTATGATAGTGTTTTTCAAGCCAGCGATTGACACCTCGGGACTTTGGATCTTGGGCCATCCAAGACGAATATTTAAATATCCAATGACCAAAACTTAGATTTTCAATGCATATTACAGATAATTCTTTAATCAGGTATTTAGAATCAGGTAGTCCGCTGAGGACGATACCGAGGAAGAAACCAGTGAGGAAGAGGAGGAGGAGGAGGAGGAAGAAGAGGAGTACGACACCGATGAATCTGAAGGTATTTATTTAAATTATATTTTCCACCGTTCTACCTAAAAAAATCTAATTTTATCACTAAATATTGGTTGTTCGTTTCCTATATTTCTTACTAAACTACAAAAATCAAATTTATAATTTGTTTTTAATATTTTTTAGTGCCCATTACCGATGGAGATATGGACTATTTCATGGATTATAGCGGTGATATGGAGAGGAGGATACGTTCAGCTGAAGTTTCTTTGGAAGACTTTCCGTGGCCGGGCGCCTACTTGTTCCGAGATCGGTGGTCGGTGAGCGAACGTGCGTCGTTTGCAGCTGTCATATTTCACATCATGCACGGGCCCGACTCCGCAGCTTATACGACCCTAAGGTCACTATACTCAAATACCTGGCCATTGGATGCAAGTCGAGCTCTAGCGTGCGGTGACCCAGTCCTGTATTACCGCCGAATACGCTACAGGACGCTCAGGTATATTTTTTATTATACAATGGCTTCGGTTGGGTTTAATACGGGGGACCTGGTGCGAGCTAATTTTTTTTGTTACTCGATGGAGGAGATTTTGTTTTTCCTCAATCGATGGCAAAACAATTTTATATGGGATAATTACCGGGAGACGACCATGCGCATAATCTTACCCTCAGGGAGGGTAACGCGTCGGTCTATGTTCGTATGTAATACGGAGAGATCGACGTGCCTCAATCCTGAGGCTAATTTTGTGCGTGTGGTTTCGGCTACCCGGGAAATACCCAATAAAATCAGGTTAATTCATGAATTATCCCAATTTAAGACGTGTGAGGGATGCGGTGCTAGACTGCAACTCTGGCTAAGCCAGTCAGATGTTTTTGCCGTGGAAGAACATTTTTCCAATGTCCCCTCACATAATATAATATTCCACCTATTTAATAGACTCATTAATTAGTCTATTAACTTATGTTGATTTCTTATGTATGTATTTTTTTTTTTTTTATTTAATTTTATTTGATTTATCTGTTATTGTTTACTATGTACATATTAAAACCCAATTTTATAGTAATATTTGTATGTTTTATTTTTATATTTTTTTTTTTTTTTTTTTAAACATATATATATATATATATATATATATATATATTTTATAATAAAATAACGTCAACAATATGTTTTTATAATAATAATAATGACATAATTATAAACGAAATAACTAGTTTTCTTTATATTTATTTGTTTTAACTTTATTACTACTTCATCTACTAATACTAAAAATAACAATAATGACTTAGAGTATGGTTAACTACAATATCGTATATTACCATTAAACATGATAGTAATAATATTATTGTTTGGTGAACAGTTATAATACATTATTATTTTTGGAACATTAATGATTAATATTTACAAGACACTTCACATGTTTGTTAGGTAATAAACACACAAAATAATTACAATAATAATACAAGTAATAATATAATGAAAAGTACGTTATTGTTTATTTAAATGGTGTTATTCCGTTTGTTAAATTGTTAATGAAAACGGAGTAGGTAGTCGATCACCTCGTCTCATTCATTTCTTCATCATCACTACCGGGTTGCTGCTCACTGTAAATATAAATAAATAAATCATTAAGTATCTATAGTATTATATATATATATATATATATATATAGCGGTCATGTAAAAGGTTACTCACGTTAATTTGTAATGGCCGTGAGCGAGCGTATGAATTCTATCAGGTAAAATAAAACGTTTGTCATCGTGCCAATTAAGTGTCATTTTCATTGTTTTTATTGTTTTTATATCATGTTGAAATGACCGTATAGAAATATTCTCCCTATAAGGTGTGTACGTAGGGTACTTGACGGGTGTATTGACGGTGGCTGCGGCGGCCGCGGCGGTCCCCTGTTCGTGAATGTGTTGGAGTACGGCTCTCCCGTGTGTCCGAGCTGTGGCCTTAGCATTATCAATTGTATCTTCTTCTTCCAAAAACAGGCAGGTTTTAAAGTCTTCCATTGTCAGGTGATGTTTTACCACGTGACCTTTGATGCCCTTCGCTTTAATTTTTTCATCCGTCCTCTGTGCATCCACTGACTCCTTTTCAAAAGCATATGTTTTTGGTCTGAGACTGATAAACTCATAGATAGTTAACCCGTTGGTCTCGTCAGAAAACAGTCCGGGGATTTTTTTCTTAGCGATAGAATAGGCTGGATGATTGTGGGGAAGATTAGAGGTATCGAACCATTTGAGTAAATCAGGGTTCGCCGACACCTCAGCATAAAAATCTTCAGTCCTAACTAAGTAGACGAGAGAATCTAAAATAATAATACTTATTATAATTTATGTATACAAAACAAATGATTAA